ACAAGGAGATTTTTATTTCTCCTTGGATTTGAACCTGAGACCTCGTGATACTTTTGAGGTGGATCAAAGGTATGTATAGTCTTTCGATGTGTTTTTAACTGAATTCTTGTGTTTCACTGGACTTTTTGAGTTTTTTGGTTGATTTCGAAATATTTTTAGGTTTTATTTTTGTTAATTTCGAGGGATATTTTGGGCTTTTTTTGTTGATATCGATATACTTTTTTGGTTTTTTGGTTAATTTCGAGAGGTCTTTCCGTTTTTATTTGATGTTCTTGTAATTTCTAGCTAATATAATGGTGCACCATTCAATGTACACTGGTGCACTTTTCATATCCCAAAAATTTATACTTATGAAAATAAGTTGAGTGGATACACAAGACCCTGCTCGGGGCTTAATAGGTTCGCTCCTGCAGGCGTATTAGAAAGTCATGTGATTGGAGGCATATCAAGGGTATTAAAAGAAATCCAAGGTTGAATAACCATCCGAACCAATGAGGTTAGGTTATTCGATTCGAGTTATTTGGGAATCTTAACAATATTTCAAAAGAAACATCAGTATTAAATATCAAAATCCTTTAAAACGACAGTACAATTGCTGAAAACTATGATACCAGAAACCACGAGTAGTTTATAGGAAGCAGTGAGTGAGTCATCAAAAGAAAGTTCGGGACACCAACAGGAAAAAAGTTGGGGGCATCAATAAAAGAAGGTAGGAGTAAATACAAGAATTGGGGGTATGTGCCCCCCACCCATAAGGTTGATCCGTTCCCGGTGTTGGTATATACACACATATTTATGTTAAAATCAGATCAAATTATATATAAAAAAAATGTAAAAAAAACATTAGTTTTGATGTACCAAGTACGTGAGAAAAAAAAGCTAACATTTAAGTGCGCGTTTAGCTTAACCATTCCCAAATCCTGATCAACTTACAGTCTGCAGAAGATAACGTACAAGCTATTATTACGATGTTGCTTTACGATCAGCAATTTCAGCTCTGATAGTAACTTATTGTTATTAAGATATTGAAAAATTGTCATTTTTCATTTCTAAAACCGTGCATAAGTCAAACAACTTTAAAAAAACGATCACAACTCCTCAAAAATTAATAAACACTTTTTGACATTCGGATTCGAGATAATATTTATTATCATGTTAAAACAATAGCTACGTTTGGTCGTTGTCACCCTACATTTTCATACGATCATAATTCTGGAGTTGTCTTTTATTATTTTAAGTGGTTGACTGGAATACTGTATATGTACTTCATACCATAGAATTAATTGGGTACTGTTTGATTTAATTTATCATCCGTCTTCTAGAGTGTTTTAACCATATTTTTCTATCGAAATTAATAAGTCATCGTGTATACCAACATGTGAACTAAGACCAAATATATATATATATATATATATATATATATATATATAGAGAGAGAGAGAGAGAGAGAGAGAGAGGAGCGTTCAAATAAAAACTTGCCCAATTTGTGTAAACCGTGTAAACCAATCTCATCCATTCATTTTCTTGATCAATGACTAAGATTAGTTTACTTTATTTTAAAAAATTAAAAAATAAAAAAAATAAAAAATTTATTTTATTTCAATACTAAGGGCAAAATTGGTAAACAAAAATAAACCATTTTATCATGAAACCTTTTCACATTGAAACAGTTTCATGAACATTAATTTAATAAAGAACAAAATATAATATGCACCCGTTTCATCATACATTTATTTCATAAAGAACAAAATACATTATGCACCAGTTTCATTTTTATCCTACCAACTAAACGGATCAACTTTAATCACAAATCAACATGGATCACCATGAAATTATATCATGAATCATGAATCAATTAGAGCATCAACATTTTCACCATCATGAACCTATTTCATCAACATGTAAAATATGCCTAAAAGAAGCAAATAAACCATTTTACAATGAAACATTTTCACATTGAAACAGTTTCATGAACATGGATGATTTTTTTCCTCCAACCTCAAATCAAAATTTCATTCCATAAGAAGCTAGAATCTTCATACCACGTTTCCAGATTCATTGAATAACAAAAAATTAAAATAAAGTTTTTAATATTATAATATAATAAAAATTTTAAATGTTACCATTTATATAGTTTCCATTATTAAATTTTCTTATTTAATATTTATTAATAACTTCCTTATTTATCAAACAAATATAGAAAATGACCGAAATACCCTTATTGATTAAATTTAATAAATTTTTTTTTCCTATTGGTCGAAATTGGTTTACACGGTTTCTTAGAATTGCATGGTTTTCATTTGAACCTGTCTCTCTCTCTCTCTCTCTCTCTCTATATATATATATATATATATATATATATAGAGGGTGGTTCAAATACTAACCCAATATTTTGTGCAAACTTTGCTAACCTACATCAACCAATAATGTTGCATCTTTGGGTTTGGTTAAAATGTAACTTACATATTAATGATAAGGGTATTTAGGTCATTAGTCATTCTTATGTAACTCCCAAATATTTTAATTGGGAGTTACAAATCCTACAATATCTCAAATTGATCTTCATCTAATAATGACATGAAGATTCAAATATGTTCATCTTATTGACAACTAATTCACATATGAAACCACCTACAACGAACATCATGCACGAACAAATATAAAGTACAGGTATCGGTTTTATCTGCACAACCCCTGTTTTTGTTAATGTGCATGTCTCATCGTCGTGCATGTGTATCACTACGAGCATGCATCAAGGTTGAAGAACATGATCATATGACCAACATATATCGATTATAGTGTTCATTAGGTTCACACGGTGTAGCTAATGTTCTTATATCTAGGGTTCACACGGTGTAGCTAATGTTCATATATCTAGGGTTCACACCATAGGGTTCACATGAATGTTCATACCTTGATATAGGCACGAAGATGAACGATTGTTCATACACATATTAATTAATACAAATTTTTGACCAATTTATCCTTTGAACAATTGTTCATACACATATTAATTAATATATTAATTAAATTATTGTTTATTTAATCTCATTTAATAATAACCGTTAGATGAGAAAATGAACGATTAAGATGAGTTARCATAGTTTGCACAAAATATTGGGTTAGTATTTGAACCAGCCCCTATATAGATATATATATATGGTACAAATCTTAGTAGGGAGTATAATGACGAGGAGGTAGAAGTTAACATTAGGGGAAAGACGTAAACTCAAAGGACAATTTCAGATACATCAGCTCTATGATCTATAAGAGAAAGAAGTCGAAGTTACAAACCGTAAAAACATGACGGTTAAAGTAAAATCATTAAATAAATGATTGTACTTGATATTATTATTATTTTTTGTTTTTATTTTAATCAAAATTATGTTGACAAAGTTAAAGTGGTTTTATAACAAGTTTCAAATAAATAAATCATATTTTATGATAAATTTTAAAAAAGACGAATGACAAATTAAAAATAGAATAAAAGTGTTTTTGTATTCGGGACGTTACGAAGTAATTTTTTAAATTAATTTAAAGTTATATTTTCATTAAAAATATAATAAAATTAAATGTCTAGATGAAAATTAACGGAACAACTTTAAACTTTGATATAAAAAATTAAAAAAAAAAAGTAAACGATAAATTTGGTCCCTACAGTTTGTCGAAAGCAAGACTGCTCCTTGTATAGTTTTGGAAATTTCGAATTCGATCCCTTTTCTAATGGCTGTTAAGAAATTCCGTTAATAAATTACTTATGGTTTGATTATGTAAAAGATAATTCCGTTAAAATGAAAGACATTTTCGTCAAGACCCATTCAGATCCCATCCCTTCCATGAATATATGTCCGGTCGAAAACCCTTCCTCTCATCTCTAGAAAAAAATATCGAGCATTTCCTTTCTGATGTTCTCTGGGGAAACCCCTCCATCTTCCCTTCTCGACGAACCACCAGCAACACTCCATCGAAGACGGTATGTTTCATGAGCAAAATGACAACCTAGAAACCCGGATTTAGTCCATTTCGACGAGGATTTATGAATTTGATGAATAATACGCAGAACCGTTTGAGGATAACCTATAAGGTCCATCTCGATCTAGTTATGTTTGTTTAATATGAGGTTTGACTTTTTGATCTTCAGTTTTGGTGATATAAAGTTAAGATTCAGGGTGCGTTTGGTATGCAAACTGAGTGGGATGTGACAGAACAAAAATAAATAGTCTCATGTTTGGTGTGCCATGAGACAAAAGTAAGATTGAGTGGAACTATTCTTGAGTTTTGTTTTGTTCCACAAAAAAAGATAGAACAACATGTGACTAAATTTGAGATTACAATATTGTCCTTATTATTTGATATCAAAATACAAACCTAATTTAATTGCATCATCTTCTTCTCTTCCACAGCCTCCATTCTTGAAATGTTAAACTTATAACGATGACGTGACAAATGTTATTTACAATTGTTGTGTTTAAACTTTTTAAATTATGTGCGTATTTAGAATTTGTGGTATGACATATGTTATTTGAATGTGGTCTTGGAATGTTAAAAAAAGTATTGATATCATAGATTGAACAATTTAAATATATTTTTGGTTGATTTGTTGTCATTTACAATCATTATATGATATAAAATAATATTGAACAACATTTAAGAGTAATATGATTATTTTAACAGTTTTGTCGTGTTTTGTCCTAATCTACCAAACATAAAAATTATATAAAATGTTTTTATTTATTTAAATGATCAAACGACTTTTACTTTCACCTAACGGAAGAAAGTAAACGGCCGTTAATGAAAAAGATCAAAATGTAATAAAAATTCAAACCCTGGGGTTATTTTAAAATAAAAAAAACTCGAAGGGTAAAATTCCAAATATTAAAAATCCAATAAAATATTAATATTTCGGCGGCAAAGGGGTATCTGTTATTGTTTATTCCCGGGTAAATAATGGATGATGATACCCTCATTGAAGTAATCGACGACTTCTATTTCACCCCTCTTTTAACAAATTAATCCATCCATCCGCCATGGATGAACCTTCAATCGCCAACATGAATCAATCTTCATCGATTCCACCGTCTAAATCACAAGATCCCACGACCCCATCATCTAATTTCACCCCTTCTTCTCTAAATTATTACCATCCTTCTCCTTCACGCACCATCTACAGCGATCGCTTCATCCCTTGCCGATCCGCTTCCAATTTCGCCCTCTTTGACATCTCTCCTCCTCCACCGCCACCGCCCGCTGATGCTTCCCGTGGTGAAGATAATCCTTCATCGTCCGCCGCTTACACCGCCCTTTTACGAACTGCATTGTTTGGGTCGGATCTGGGATTTCTGGTTCCTCCTGGTACGCCTGATAAGAAGAGTTTTCCGGTTACTAATTCTCCTGCTAGCCAGAATATATTTCGGTTTAAGAGTGAGACTAGGCAGTCGCTGCATTCGTTGTCTCCGTTTGGGTTCGATGATCAGTTGCCTGGCGTTAGTCATAGTCCTGTTAAAGCACCGAGAAAAGTTCCCAGATCTCCTTACAAGGTTGGTACCATTGAGAACTTTGCCAATTTGATGACATTCGCTTTGATTAGTTCGTGTTCATTGAGTACTAAATGCTTAAGTTCTAGGCTTGATATATAATTTGGTAATCTGGGGTTTTACATTATACTTTGTTTCGAGTATTAATGGACTAATCTTTGATTAATTTACATGATTTCGTATCGGAGTTTGTACTTTTTGGTATCTTTGAGTATAAATTGCTTATGATTTTGCTTATTTTTCACTCTATGCCGTTTTTTGTAATCATCAAGGATTAAATTGTGTTCTAATTTTTGTGGGTGTTTTTGGTTTTTGGTTTGATGTTAGGTTTTGGATGCACCAGCATTGCAAGATGATTTTTATCTGAATCTTGTTGATTGGTCTTCTCACAATGTATTGGCTGTGGGGTTGGGCAATTGTGTTTATTTATGGAATGCTTGTAGTAGTAAGGTAAATTTCTGACTTTTTAAGGTCAATATTAACCAAAATTTCTTGATTTAAGTTGATCTTTCATTTGATTTGTGTTACAGTCTTGTTGATGATTGAAGTTTAATGCAAATGCAGGTAACGAAATTGTGTGATCTGGGAATCGATGATAGTGTGTGTTCGGTTGGTTGGGCACAACGAGGGACCAGTCTTGCTGTCGGGACAAGCAATGGAAAAGTCCAGGTAATGCTCAAAGTTTAATAATATTAAACCAAACGAACCCAATATATCCCACATAGAGGTAGGGTCTAGGGTCGGTAAGATTTACATGGACCTTGCTTCTACCCTCGAAGTTAAATAGTATTGTTTTGTTTATTTACTCAAATATGATGGATGAATGTTAACATAATGTATTGTTTGTGGTGTAAAACAGTATTTAAATACATATTTTGTATAGCTCAGTGCCCATGTTTAAATCAAAATGTATTAACCAAAGTTTGATCATTACGATCTGATAACTATGCTATATTCCCCTGCTAGGCTTGCTCAACTTTTGGGACTTCCATAGGGTAACATAGAGGTCTTGAATTACCGGTGGTGTGTTGATGGCAACAAAAGTTTCATCTCATCAGGCATGGTTTTTTGGGTCTTCTAAAATATATAGACGGTGTGAGACTTTAGTATGAATCTTGATAGCCAACGTATAGGGAGTAAAATATGGAATCATCCAAATAAAAAATTAGGGCTTTGATGTAAAATATGGAATCGCCCCTGCCAACCTTGTATTACACCTGAGAATATAGAGCTTTTACCATAAAATTTAATTCTATGCAAGCTAAGAAAGGTAAATATAAACAATATTTTACCTATTTAAGCTTAATGGGCTTGCCTAGATAATTGGGGAGCTTACATGCTAGTTAAGGTCCGCAACATAGTTTAAGGAGCATCTTCATTTCAAGTGACAAGGTGATCGCTTGTTAAACTTATATTATCGTAATCAAGACTATAATAGAAAAAGAAAAGAAAGTTATAACATGCTATATCGCCATGAGTAAGCGGATTAGAGAATTCATAGAGGAAGTTATAGGCATTAACTCCAATATGCATGATAGAATGTTGGGAAATTTTATTTTGCTAGAATCTTTGTAATTTAGATGGTGTTTACCCCACTCTAAACCAAGGACGGCTTATCTATGAGTACATTCTGTGCATTTGTCGATAATTCGATATCAAAATCCTTCAAGTCTTTGACCCTAAGTAGCACTTTTTTTAGTTTTTGTGTATATCGTATCCCAAACCTATTGAATTATAGCAATAGCTTATTTGTTGGGGGTTCTTCGTGTTCTAGATTTTTTTTATTAAGCTCAACATGCTAAGAGCATCTCCAGGAGATTCTCTAAAATGGACAAAATGGAGATTTTGGGGACTTTGGGCAAGTTCTTTTTGCTCCAATAGATTTTCCAAAATCTTTCTACAAAATGTAGAAAGTAGGAGAGAGAATGTGAAAGTTATCTGAATTTGGAGAACTCCCCAAAAATGATTACCATGAGAGAGATAATTTTTTTTAATTATATTCCCACCAATACTTTGACATTAAATGTTTAGGAGAGACAAATAATATTTTATTAAATGCATGGAATATTTTAGTAATACTAATCAATGTTGTAATCTCCAATATGGAAAAGCTGTTGGAGTTGAATGTAATTTCTTTTTGGAGATTTTTTGAATTTTGATTCTCTATTTTGGAGACATCTGTTGGGTGTTGTTTTTCTTGATGATTTTGAAACTATATCATAAAATTACGCGATAAGTTAAGAAGTCCCGGATGCCGAAATGATATTGTTGAATGAGAGAAATACAATAAGTGCATATGTTGGCCTCCACCGAGTCTAAAACATGAAAATAAGTAAACAACCACTTCTAGCTCTCCCCAAGTTGGAATATTGGCATAAAACCTCAACTTATCTTAATAAAATCAACCGTAGCTTAATTAGGACGTCTTCAAGCTACCCACTTGAACGAACAAAAACCAGTTTATCGATATATTGGGTCTCTATGTGGCAATCATCAACCTGTGCAAAAATCTACAGTTTACATCAATTATGTGCACTCATGTAATATTTGGTTTTGAGGTGCTTAATTGGTTGATTATTACATATACGTCTTAATTAAACCAAACAAAGAATTACATATATACAAGCACTAAATTGATGTAAATTATAAATTTTATGTGATATTTGCGAGCATGTACCATTGCGTATATATTTGATATCAATGAATGAGAAATGCACTTATGCATTAATATCATATATACACACACACACAAGAGTACAAAATCTTAAATAGGAGCACAAAATATTTGCATACTAAGAATAGAAGATACATAGATTCTAACTAAAAATACAAAGATACACATATTATGATATTCCTATGTCATTGCTTTTACGAGATGAAGCTACTTTAATACCTAATAAGTATATAAGTTTTTATAAGTCCTACATTTGGAGTTCCGGAGCTGTATCACCGACGGTCACAACACCATTACGTAAGAAAACAACATTTGTCTACCTTTTTTACATATGAAGAAAACAATATAGTCGCAACCAGTTTTGGATTACACATAACCTTTTCCAAGTCTAGTAAAACCAAGAATACCCTATCGGTAATTTCTACAATATACCATGTTTAGTTTTTCGTAAGATCTGCTTCTTAATCCTACATCTGGATGAGTTAGAGATATCAAGACTTATGTAGATATACATATATATATATATATATATAGAGAGAGAGAGAGAGAGAGAGAGAGGGAGGGAGGGAGGTTTAGAGGAAAACCCACAACAAAATAAAAAACTGAGGAACACGGTGGTAACTGTTCATCTAAATGATATACACATGTGCATACAAGTAATTGAAGTTGTTTCTTGGTTTCTATGTGCATACCGGACAAATTACTTGTATGCACATGTGCATACCGTACAAATGAATGGTTACCAGGGTGTTCCTTAGTTTTTAATTTTTTTGTGTTTTCCCTTGAACCTGACCCTATATATATATATATATAGTTGATAATCTTTCATGGCAAAAACAAAGACAATGGCCAAGAGTATAGATAAGGATAGGACATATAATGGGTAACAACTAAGTGATTGATAAACATTAACTATATTTTTGGTAAATGTTAAGGTACCAGATTGGGAAAATCAAACATGTAGTTCAAGTCACTAATAGTAACGTTGGTTAAAGTAAGTGAACTCCATGAAATGAAAAATTGAGGAACACCGTAGTAACTCTTCATCTAAACGATGTACACACGTGCATACAAGTAATTGAAGCTGTTTCTTGGTTTCTATGTGCATACCGGACAAATTACTTATATACATGTGCATATCGTACAAATGAATGATTACTGGGGTGTTCCTCAGTTTTTCATTTTTTTGCGGTTTTTCTTTGAACCTGACTATATATATATATATATATATATATATATATATATATA